GTATGTATATTGTGTCAATTAAAAAATATATTAAAATTTTAAAATCATTTCCTCCAAGCTCATAAGATCATAACTGAAATAAAATTCTAGAACAAAAACCTACACTGCTAGTATTTTATACTTTCATTTTTCTTTTCAGAGAGGCTATTTTTTATGGAAGTACACATTATAGATAATCATGGAGCACAGTACCAAGTGAACTACATCCCTGCTTCCCCTATGACCTATAATCATTTAAAAAATGCTTAAGTCAATAAATGGATGACTGTTTTTGAAAGAAATCTTGTTAAACATTTCAATAATTCTTTACTCAGACAATGTTCCGTAAGGTTTAATTACTTAAGATAATCAGTATGAGTACATGTTAAATTTGCTTTTTTGAGTTGTTTCCTACTAGAAACTATGAGAATAAAATTATACCTTCCTTATAGCTCCTACACCTAACACAGTTTCTACAACATGATATGTACTCAATAAATAATGGTTTTGTTGGATGGATGGCTGGCTGGATGGATTCCAACATTAAATCCTTTATCATTTGTTCCTTGCTGGTGTTGCTCTTAACACTGCCTCAGACCCCAAAGTAAAATCTTCTTGTAAAGTAAAATATTTAAAACAAAGGACTGTGAGTGTTGCTCAGTGGTAGAGAACTTGGCCTGGGTTTGATCCCCAGCATGCATAAATGAATAAATGAATGAATAAATAAATAAACAAGCAAGCATAGGTTGAAGCAGCTTATACTAACTCAAATCTCTGCTCTCAAAAATAATACATACTCTAATCACTACTAACTTTCCCATCTGACTTCAAACCACTTTAAGTATTACATTAAACCAGAGAACCTAGGGCTCATCAATTATAACTTCTTATTCCCTTCCCCAAAAAACAACACAAAACAAAACCAAACCCACATCAAATCTATCACCAAGTCCTGCTGATTTCATCTCCAAAATATATTCTAAATCCATCTACTTTCCTCCCATTTCTACCACCATCTCTCTAGTCCAAGCTACTACTTTTTCATGCAATCTCTGCAGAATGACTTCCCTGATTGCACTTCTTAATTCCAATCCATTCTTCATACAATGGCCATAAACACCCACCCCTCAGAATGGAGGTCATGCATATGGCCTTGACTGGCCTTGAACTCCTGGGTTCAAGGGATCCTCCTATCCCAGCCCCCCAAGTAGCTGAGGCCAGAGAGGTTCCCCACTGCCTGCTTGAAAAATCTTTCCCTCTCTCATTCTTCTCCCTAGCTCTTTGCCTTGTTGACTTTCTATTCATCTTTTAGATCTCTGTGTAATGACTCCCCCCAAAAGTCTTCCTTTCTCACACATCCTCCAACCTAGCCCCTCAATAATCTAGATCAAAAGGTCCATTATAATCTCATTGCATTCAGTTAGAAATTAGTTTTATTTTTATGACTGCTTACTGTACATGTTGCTTATGAGTGAGAGCTTCATGAAGCAGTCTTTGGTCTTCCTTTACAGATTTAGTACCAAGTCAAGAATATCAATATTAAATGAATCTAACAGAGAAACATCACTACCATCAGAATTTTAGTGTACTGTCAGTTTAAATCAGGATGAATTAGACTTCTAACATTCAGCCGTTTATTCCCTTGATGCTTGATACATGTGTCACACCAGGAACTTAATAAAAATCCTGGAAGAAACATACAACTAGCCATATTATGAAAAGCATGAATTTAAATTTACACTGTCTCTGTGGTCTTCAGCGAGGCTTAGTGCCCCCTTTTAATTCTCCCTAGTCTTTCTCTCCATATTATTTCCACTCCTGCCCGATCTCTCCCAGCAGAAAATTTCATTCCAATATCTATTTAATAAGCCAACTACAGTGGTACCTTGGTTCACACAGTCAATTCTCTCCACCAAACTGTAAAGAACTGAATCAGATTTTCCTACAAGGTCAACATTGAGCCTAACCACTGAATTTGATTTGGTTCTCATCCAATTCAGTTTGCAACTGGAATCATGAAAAGAATCGAGTTTATGAACTGAGGTACCACTGTACTCAGTATACAACAGTCACCAAAGAGAAAGTTTCTATTCTCAATGTACTTACATTCTAGAAATAAATATTTAAATTTAAGAGGTGGTTAAGTACTGTATTATGTAGGAAGAGCAAGCAGGTAAGGGGACAGAGTGACACAATGAGGATAAACATATGCTGTCTTAGTCTGGGAGTCAGGGAAGTCTCTCTGATAACATGACACATGGTCAGAGACCCAAAGGGAGCAGGTGGGAGCCAACAAGGCACCTAAAGTACATCAAGAGGGATCTGGACAGAGGGAGCAGCAAGTGCAAAGGCCCCTTGGCAGACAGGCACTCACATGTGTGGAGAAGAGGAGGAGGCCTAAGACCTGAGGAGAGTAAACAAAGACAGTAGTGGAAGGGAAAGAGCCAGTGATATAGGACCTTGGAGAGAAGCGTAAAGATTCTGGGTTTTAAAATTTCTAAGCAAAACTGAAAGACACTGAAAGAAGTTTTTTGACTACAGAAGTGACATGATCCAAGCTAAGTCTGAAAATAATAATTTGGTTTTAGATAAAGAACAGACTGAGCTGTTCTAACAGCCCAAACCAGAGATGATGGTGGCTTCAAAGGGGTAAGAAGCAATCATTTTCTGGATAGATTCTGAAGACCTACCAGTAGGATTTGCTGACAGACTGAATGTACAGGAAAAAAGAGAAACAAAAGATGAAAGATGATACTTCTTTGGGCCTAAGCAAATACAAAGATAAAATTACTATTATAGTTTGGATCTTCCATGTCTTCCAAAGGCCATATTTAAGGTTTGGTTGGCAGCCTGTGGAACTATTGGAAGGTTGCAGAACCTTCAGAAGGTGGAGCCTAAAGGAAAGAAGGTAGGTTACTGAGGGTATACTCCTTAAGGGGATATAGGGATCCTACCCCTGCCCTTTTCTCTCTTTGTATCTTTGCCACCATCTGGTGAGCAGCCTCCTCTACCACATGCTCTCTGCGATGATATGCTGCCCTGTCACAGGCAACAAATCAACATGGCCAAGGCATCTTGACTGAAACCTCTAATTGTGAGCAAAAATACATCTTTCTTTTTAAACTGATCAGCTCAGGTACTTTATCATTCTGTCACAGTGACAGAAAGCTAACACAATTACCATTTACTCCCATTCTCCACTAAAAGAAAATAGGCTAGAAAAGGGCCAAGAACAACATACTATGACCAGAATAAAAACAATGAGACAGATCAGAAAGACAAAAGCTCTATCCAAACTTAAACAATTTAAGCACCAAAATAAATATTAATAGCAACAAATTATACACCACGGGAAATAGAATAATCTGAATCTAAACAAAAGGAATGAATAAATGGGAAGGAGAAAATGCTTCTCCTTCTATAATACCAATTAATAAACATAAAAGAAATGGTAGAATTAGAAAATCATGTTTCAGGCAAAGTCAAGGTGTCAGGCAAAAACTACTAGATGCTAAATCTAATGGGTAAAAAAATTTGATGAAAAACAGAATGCATTCATGGTCTCAAAGTATGTTACCATAATTATAGAAAATAATCGTTTTAGAGAAAACACATAGAATACCACCTTCTTAAGCACATGAATAAAGTCTACATCACTACAGTAAGACAGAGATTTTCCATGTCTCCTGACAGGATGCAGGGAGAAACACCTCTATGGCATTGTAAAATCATGATAAATCATAAAACAAGCTCCATGTGATAGACATGCCGTGAAATATATATACATAATGCTTCAACACTGTCAAGGTCATGAAAGATAAAACTGTGAAACTGATCCAGATGAGGAGACTACAAAGACAGGACAACAAAATGAAGCACATGACCCTGGACTGGACAATGGACCAAGAAAAGCTCTTTTTTCTTCTGCTATAAATAACATTAGTGATTCAAACAGTACAATTTGAATAAAGTCTTGGCACTTCATGCAAAGTTACTGACTTGATGACTGGACCATGGTCATGTATAGGAATGTCCTTTTTTTTTTTTTTTAAAGGAAATACACACAATGATCAGAGTAAAAGGCCATAAATTGTTTATTCACCAATGGGTCTCTGAATCCAGTTTTAGTTACACAACTGAAATCCTTAGCATCAGCCTTATGAATTTTAACTTTCAAGTTAGAAAACAAAGCGTAGTAAATTGGTTGGTGTCAAAAAAGGAAGAGACAAGATAAATGAGCATAATCTAGAAGCCTCTTTATGATCCATTCCCTGAACTTTCCCAACCTCATTTTCTACCATCCTCTACACTTAGGCTCTTTATCTTAAACCACTCTAATTTCCACAATTACTCATGTTATCCCCTATCTTCAGGTCTGTTCATTTTTACTGTTATTCCTTCTGACTATAGAGACCCCATTCCCTATTGTACTGATAAAACTACTCCATGTCCTTTAAGACCCCACAATGAATCCTTTTCTGACTTCCCTAGAGTCACCTTACAACACCATGTACTCCATAACTGGACTCTTCATATTGAGATTTGTATTTATATGTCTCTCCTAGATGTGATGGAAGAAATGCTGTCATTTACTTTGGCATCTCCAGCATCTTGTACAAAGCAGGTTTTATGTATGTACATCTTGCCATGTGTCACAAAGGATTAAGACAGAGCATTTAAAAAGTATTTCTTGAATTAATGAATATATTACTTCATTTTGTAAAAGAAGCCTTCTGTTTGTCTGATCAAATCCCAAATTATCCTTCATAGAATAAGACAGAAAATACATAAAACAGGCACATTTAATACTGATAATCAAAACAATGTATTTATCCACAAAACCAAAGCAGTTTGGGTTTGGAAGGAATACCTTAACCAGCAGAATTACATACACACACAAACATCTCTCTTTTCAAAATAAAACGGATAAGTTCCTCCTACTGTTTTACCCATAATAAAAATAATTCTTTTTCATCCATGAACAAGTTACTTGATTGTCTGACTTGAATATTCAACTTTACCTGCAGTGCTTGTTCTTGGATATCACGAAATAATTCCATATCTTTCTCAGTCATGATTTCCTGGCTCCCAAAAAGCCGCTCCTCACTTTCTTGTTTGCCATCCCAGCCATCTTGATTGTCTGCACATAAAGGGGTATTGTGTTATTTGTACTATCCTTAATTTAGTACACATGGGCTTCCAATATGATGATCTTCGTATTATTTATATGAGAACAGCATTAAACTGACTGCTAGAAAGATACTACTCAATAAAGAATTTTACATATTTTATCTGCCTTTTAGTGAAAATCCTGAGTTGCCTTAAAGCTTCCTAAAATAAGACATAACCAAATTTAAACATCATTAAAAGACATGACATTTTAATAGGCAGAACAAGCAAAGGGTCTAAGGAGTAAAAAATTTATTTTTAAATAGAATGAATATGATACTTTTAGTATGAGGTACCTTAACTGATACCAGGAAATACTAACTTCCCTGACATTCTGGGTGCCCTGTTAAAGCACAAACTCCACAAACCTGAGGACCACAGTTGATAATCCTCTGGGTAAGTATGAAAAATTATGATAATCATCCACTAAATGATGGCTCTTCCTCAAATGGGCAAAAAAGTTAGTGAAGGGAGTATTTGGGGATTATGTAGATCATTATCCTTTGCATTTGAAGATGACATTGCTGATGGCCTCATTTCCTCTTTGTATGAGTATGGCTGAAAAGACCAATCAGTGACAGTTCTTTTCAAATCAACTGTACATACAGGCTGTTTGTTATTCATGTTGTAGGAGAAGAAAAAGGACAAAGACTCATTGTTGACAATATTCCCAAACTGAAAAAAAAAAAGTACAATCTAAAGGTACTATGTAACTTTAATGCCCCCTAGTGCATGACACAGATGGATGCAGGCGTGGATCTAGTATAGCAGGCCACGGAACCATGAGACGATGTACGATTGTTCCTTGAAGTCTACAATTTATAAAGGAAATGACAAGAGCCTATGAAAGCAAACTATACCAATGCCTGAAAAGTTCAGTGTTAACTGTCCATGTTTTATCCATCCTCTAACAATTTCTATTTCTAAAACTTTCTAGTAAATTTTTCTAATAATCCATATCCAGAGCAAACGGTTAAAGCAAAAATGTCTTTTATCAGGAAATGCTTTAGGATTCTTTCCTTATAACACTAATCTAAATGGATTGGTTATTTTTTTAGATAAACATGCTCAGATTAAAGCATATCCACAGTTTGCATGACTGATAAAAGATGTGAAAACTCTTGAATGCTTAAAGGGCAGCTAGCTGATTTTTCACTTTGGTGAAAAATCAATCAAACAGAAAAGGGGAAACTGGTAATGATGAGAACATTCTCTTCTGCATGGGACCAACCAACCATTCTCTATGCAGGAATGAAAAAGCGGTGAACACAATCACTTACCAATGGGACACTTGGGGGAGAAAATCAACATTAAGAAATTCTGCAGTAGGTGAGACACTGTAACTTTGGTCTTTTCTATCCAAGAGTTCATTTTTATTCTTCTACTTTCCTCAAAAAGCCCTTTCTACTTCCTTCACAGGGTTAGGTCCTCTAAACTCGTGGCTTAGTAATAAGGCTATTTAAGTGTTCGTTGTTCAGACAGCTAATCACGTTCTTCTGACTTCAGTTAACTGTCTCTCCACAGATGTTGTCTACTGTGAACAATAGGGAACTCGGCCTAATACTTGGGCAAATAGTCTGCCACTATGGTTCTCTCTCTGTTTAATCCAGGAATTTATAAATATATTTACCAAGATGTAGAGGTATAAAAGTTATTGACCTTATTATATTTGCATATATTTGGGGGGGGTGTATGCTTAGATCAATAGCAGTCAATGTCCCTGCTCTTTCAGATTTCTTACCAGGAATAAAACTAACATCATGATGCTCATTATATGATTTATTTAGTAATTTATGGAATACAAAGTTGGCCTTGATTCAAAGTTATATCCCAAATGGTAGGTTCCTTATGCTTCTACCAAAAAAGCAACTTCTCTTTTTGCCTAAGAGCTCCTACTAGTCCACTTTGCCAACTTTTCTCTAGCCTCTAATTCCTGCCATATGTATTTTCAATAGATCTTATCTTCCATAACCAATTATAAAAATAATCTAGATGACTAGTGCTACTCTAAATAATACAATTTTGGAATAGTTTTTGTTTCTAGGTTTGTTTCAAACTTTTACCTGTGGGCCAATCTGAAGTGCTTGATTTTCTGTTGCCCTTTTTCCTGATTCTATATTGCTCAGAGTAGTCTACCACTTCCCCTCGAGCTTTCCGCCCATCAGGGGAAGGGGTGAAGAATTTGGTAAGGCCATCAATGAGCCCTTTGGTTTTCTTGTTGAACTTCAAGGGGACATTACTATCTCTGCAGAAATCCAAGCCATCTATTCGCTCTAAATATCCTTCTTCTGATGATGATGCTGATTGGCTGGAGAGAGTGATTTTACGTTTCCTACCCCTTCCAGGGCCAGTTTGAACTTTGCTGAAGGGACTTTTTGATCTAAAGAATCAAATAGGAAAAAAAAAAAAGCTATTAAAAGAAAACATTATAAGATTTTTTATTTAATAAGTCACTTAGAAAATATATACTTAGAAATACATGAAGCTTTATTTTTAGGAGTATATTAGAAAATACTATAAACTATAAATAGCATATGAATGAGAAGTAGTATTATTGGAAACATTTATTTCCAAGAAGCCCAGTTATTTATATTGAAAAGAACCCTAAGTCAGAAATCAGAGTACATGTTCACGTCATAATTCTGCCACTTACTAGTTGTACATCTTAGACAAATCACATTCTACTAGTATCTGGGCATCTGCAAAATGAGAGGTGGACCAGAGAACAACATCCTTTGATGCTATGATCTTTGTACCAACTCAGTTATACCTTTACCTCTAAACACAAAGATGGGTTATTCGCTGGAAGCAAATCAAAAGATCATTACAGGAAAATTAAAAGTTTGATTTAAGATGAAAAATATTGGAAACTTAGTGAAACCCTGTCTCAAAATACAATTTTAAAAAAGGACTAAGTATGTAGTTCAGTGGTAGAGTGCCTTCCTAGCATGCATGAGGCCCTACATTCAGATATATACACATACATACACATGCACCACACACATATTCTGTAATACTGGTTCATTATATTTTAAGCTATTGATGCTTATTTGGTTACATCATCCTCTAGACAGTATTAAATGTAGAAAAGGCAGGTAAACTTTTTGAGAATGAAGAGGTTTTACAGGTCTGAAGATATCTGATATATCATCAAAGGTGAATTACTATATATATATATTTTTTTTTTTTTTAATTAGGAAAGAATTAGATACTGAATCTTGTCCCATCTCCTCCAGATATAGCCCAGGTTCCTAGTCCACAATTTCTAATTTCTGCTAACAGATGAAAACACACTATTGGGAGAACACAAAAATAGGATTTAACTATCACCCCAAAATGAAAAACCTACCCAGGAATTGTGTACCTAACAGATACAAACAACTGAGACTAGATTAGGAGAGAAACGCTCAAAATGCTATAACAACAAAAATTTTTTTTTGCTGTTTTTATAAGAAGCAATATAAGGGGATGTTGCCAGACTACTTGGGCTTTAATACCAGTTTAACATTATATAACCTTGAGCAAGTTAATCTCCCTCTGCTTTAGTTGCCTCCTTTGAAAAACACAGGTAACAACAGTACCTAACACTTCATTAGGTTGTTTGGAGAATTAAGTGATTTAGCACATGTAAGGCATGTGGAACAGTGGCTGGCACTTTATTAACTACTCCATAAGTGTTAGCCATTATTATTTTATAAAAGCACAAGTTATTAAAATAGGTTCTTTTTTTTCCTAAAAAGTAAACAAGTGAATCCTATACTATAGAGAAGGCCCTATCCTTTTCTCCCCTCACCTTGCCACAAGTACAACTTACACCGTGTTTTGTTTCTTTAACCTGTTTTTTGGACGTCCTATTGGATTAGCATAGCGCCGTTTTATCTGTGCTGCCTTCTTTTGTAGCAGTTTTCGTCCTTTTTTTCTAGGTCGACATATTTGACATATCCACATGCCTATAAAGAAAAAATTCCACACACACGTATGACAGACATAAATAAACTGTAGTCTTAAGACATCAACTTCCTTTAGGTCAAGGAATAGCATTTGAAAATCTAATGAACCCCTGCTCCCCAGCAGAAAAGTAAGCATGAAAATATATATACAGAATTCTACAAATAACTGGAAGAGATTCACACACACACTTAAAGCTTGCAATGTCTAGTTACCATCCTACGATAAAAAGAAGCTAAGTTTCTATAGGCTAACACTTGTTTCCAGCTCAGGGCAGGGAAAATACAAGAAAACCTAGAAGATCATATAGTGCCAGAAAACCAAAAAATGATAAAGGCATTTCAAAAGGACACAGGAGCCAACTCAAAAGAGTTCCCAATGGTCAAATCTGGGACAACTGAGCAAAAGGACAACTGGAATACTAGACCACAATTCAGTGATATAAATTAATTAAAAAATAAATTGAATAAACAAATGTGAGAAAAGAACAGCTCATCTTTACAGCAAAATTCCAATTAATAAAGATACAAAGAGGGGCTAGGGATGTAGTTCAGCAGCGCAGTGCCTGCCTAGCAAGCGAAATGCCCTGAGTTTGATTCCTGGTACCAGGAAAAAAAAAAAAAAGAATGGTGAAAATAAATAGTCACCATTATGGAGGCATCACAGTAATAACTGGTATAGGCAAGAATCACTGATTTCTTAGTTTTAATACTTGTAACATTAGGAAAAGCTAGGAAATAATATAAGGGCTCTCTGTACTATTTTTGCCACTTTTCTATAAACCTGAAATAAATTCAAAATAAAATGTTTCCTATGTTAACCTATTATAAAACCTCTCCTGCAGAAGTTAAATACATAGGAAAGAAATTTCAAGGAAATCTTCTTTATCTTGGAAGGATTTTTCAGACTGTCCAGATTTCAAATACTAAATGGAAAGGGGTTATTTATTCTTTTTTTTTTTTTATACCGGGGATCAAACTCAGGTCCTTGCGCTTGCGAGGCAGGGACTGAGCTAAATCCCCGGCCCCGAGTTTATTCTTAAATTTAAGACTGTTCAAATTTCCTTAATTTGCATTAACTAAGAAAATAATCAACAGAATGACATAAGAGTAATTCAAAAAGATCCTTAAAGTGAGTAACTTAAGGTTGAGTCCTTTTCTATCAATAGGGAAACTTTCTCCAAACAGACACTATAAAATATCCTATAAGCATTTCACTTAAGAAGTTTATAAATCACAAAATTCAGAGCTGGAATGGGATTTGTGATAGGACAAAAGAGGGAAGACTAAGTGAATTCTTCTTTTAAAGAAAAACATAACAGAAGGTAATTATGTATATCCTAATACTTTTCAAGGAATAGGAGTCAAAAGAACAGCGTTAACATTAAATTTCAAATAAACCAGATCTCAATAGATCAAGGCCCCTCAAAAGTGCTGAGCAGTAATATAATCAAAACAACCTTACACAATTTCATTTCCTCCTTTTAAAAAAAAAGATATTTAAAGATATTATGTAAGTATTTTAGCCTCTAGCTAGTGACTGGCAAATATTTTTCTATGAACCAGTTCACCCTTCCTGGATGCTTATATGTTGAAAATAAAAGAAAATAATAATAAATCCTTAGTGTACAAAAATTTAAGACACCGAAACAAAAAGACTAACCCTACCTTTAAGGTGACAGTCCTCTTCCTATTTATACAACCCCTCAAATGAATCAATTGTTTTTTTATTTTAATAGCAAGTAAAATGTGCTTTCACTAACATATTTTATTTCAGAAAGCATTTCTCACCTTTTGGCATCCGAATGAGTGGCGGATCACAACATTCCATGTGAAAACCTCGGTCACATGAGTCACAAAAAAGCATGTTATCCTTAAGAGAAAAAAAGGCATAGATAGTTCTAGTTAATCTTTTGAAAAAGAAACATGTCATGAGGACCATAACTTCATAAAACCTAGGAAACTTAAGATCTCAAAAGAGACAAGTTACCATAATATTAAGTTTCCTCAATTTGTGTTAGCTATGTAGGTAAACAATCTGAGTCAGCAAAAACTGACAGTCTCAGCAAACTGAGTTTGGCTTCATCCAATCTTTGACAAAAAGCTATGGTTTTGTTACTTTCCTGTATATCCAATAACTAGGAGAAAAAAAAAAAACTAACCCTGGTCTATTGGAATAAAAAAGAAAAGGATGACTTGAAATTAGGAAGTCAACATTCATAAATGAATACCTTCATATTGCTCAAACAAATTTTGGGAACATTTCCTTATGTAATTTACTCTCTCCGCAAATATACAGTTCTGGTGCTTTATAAATTATCTAGAGTAGGCCAGGTGTGGTGGTGCATGCCTGTAGTCCCAGAACTCAGGAGGCTGAGGCAGGAGGACTGCTGCAAGTTCAAGGCCAGCCTGGGCTAGTGAGTTCAAGGTCAGCCTGAACTATATAGTGAGACCTTGTCTCCAAAAAAAAAAAAAAAAATCTAGAAATATTCTAAGTATTCTAAACTAATGGAATATAATTTAAAGAGGCTACTGCTCTAAATTCTGCCAGACTGAAAAATAACCAGCTACACTTGGAAATACCACAGTACACTCATTTCTATATAAATATGCACATAGGAAGGCAAGATACGCACTGCATTTTTGCCTTGATCTCGACAGGAGCTGCAAGTTTTACACTCAATACACTGCCACCGTAAGGCCTTCACTCTAATTGTTAGTTCAGGGGAAAATTTTAAACAGGATGGATGACCTAAGAAGACAAAAAATTCATGAATGAAGCAATCAAGAATTACTTTGTACTAAATGATATATAAAAAGGCAATTTCTTAAAAACAAAATATATACTCAACAAAGCAAGATGCTGGAAGCTTGCCATTTGTCTCACCAGGACTTAGCACCCCAATTTAGTTTTATTAATGCTACACAGGATTTAGAACACCCACACACACACACACACACACACACACACACACACACACACCTTTTTGATTAAAAATCTGATATATTCCAAGCTTTCACTAAGCCTATATCAAAGTATTATGTTTGTACACATCCTGGTATGTTTATGAACACAAATATATATACATGCCTAAGACACCTCTGGAAGAATACAATATCTTAGAAAATTGTAACATCTTATAAAATGAAGCTATAAACATTCCGAAGGAAGATTTTCCATTTAACTTTTTATGTTTAAAATAACCTCTCCCTCTTCCTCTTTTTTTTTTTGGTGCTTTTGAGCCAAGGTCTTGCTTTGTAGCCCAGGCTGGCCTTCAACTCACTGTGATCTTCCTTCCTCAAACTCTTGAGTGCTGAGATTACAGGTGTGCACCACCATGCCTGGCATTTTATTTTTTAATTTATGATAAAAATCTTATTTGGAGTAATATGTTTGCCCATGATTTAAGGCATTCAAGCTAAAATTAAAACCAAAAGCAGTTATTTTTATTGGTATCAGAATTAACAGCAACAGAAAAAAATGACTCCTTTTGTAGGAGTTAATATTGATTTGATTCTCAAAAATTCAAAGTACCCAATTAGCCTTCAACTCTGAAAAGATCTGTCCCTGTTCTCTAAAAGTTGGCTATATTTATTTTTCTCTGGTGAGACAAAGGACTAGCTAAATCATCTTTTCTTCGCTCTTTCATATTTCTAAAGAAGTGTAGGAGGTAAGTTCATCAAAGCATCCCTCACTGAAGGAAGAAGGAAGGGGGAAGAGTGTGACTACTTCATTCATAATCTCTTCATTCTACAACAATGATGGTGGACCTTTTAGAGCTTTCAATGATACAAACAGCCCCCTGCAGCACACATGTTACAGGCTTGCCACCACTGTTCTAGAATAATATGCATTTTTATGTTCCCCTTTTTAAATTAGCTGAAAGCCCTTGAATGGGTTTAATTATAGAATATATAATTTTTGTTTTGGTTTTCTTCAAGTAAACTTTACACTTATATTCCTTTAACTATTATATTCCACTTATTCCAATATATATTATATTCCACTTATTCCAATATATATTATATTCCATTGGAGTATATGGGATATACTCCATTATATTCCATTATACTGATACACCATAATGCACATGATCATTTTCCTATCATTAAGGTACGTAGATCACTATCCGTAATTGTTAATGAATGAACACTAAAATTATTTCATGTTTACAGATTCTTTCCTTCTTTTAAGTTAGTTTCTTAGAGTAAATTCTTAAAAAGTGAGACTGGTGGGTGAAATGAATTAAACATTTTATAACTTGATAGGTTGAGATGAATTGCCAAAACATTCTCCCAAAGCTATAATATGATATTCAGTGCCACCACCTAAGTACAAATTTTTTACCATAATTTCATTAGCTCTAGGTTAGGTATCTATTATCTTTTAATTTCACTGCTGCTTTGGTATGCATTTGTTAGAACATGGGCAAATTTTCTTTATATATTCAAGTTAATTTTCTTCCACATAAACTGTCTGTTCACAGGCTCTTTTCTTTGTACTTGCGCTTAGAATTGGAAGCAGGCTCTTTATTTTCCCCAAACTATTCCTGCTTTTTATTTTGGGTTTGTTAGTTTTCAATTTAGAAAAAACTTTTATATATATTCTACGTCCACCTTTTCTTCCTTGGTTACTGTGATGGCCAATCTCTAATGTGATCCTTGTGTGTATCATTTTCTATAGTGAATAGAGTTGACCTGCATAACCAATAGGATATTGCTGAAATGACAGTTTCTAAGGCTAGGCTGGATACTTGCTCCAGGGAAGCCCTATGGAGAGGTCCCCTATCACAGACCCCTGCAGCGGGTTCTGATCTCCTGCTCAGTGCTATGGCACAAGGTGAGAAGATAGAGACAGCGTTAAAGAGACAGATACACAGGGACCCAGGATGACCAATGCTCATGCAAGCACAGCTGAACAAGCAAAGGTCCTAAACACTCACAGCTGTTGATATTTATTGGTGACATCATAGATTGGGGTAAAGGGGCTACATGGAGGGACTATGTGGAGTTGCTATGGATACTTTGCTGATGCAGGCAAGGCTTGTAAAGAAAGAAACAAAGCACTCTTGAATTAGGAACAGAACAGACAAAATATAGGTTGTGGTTAATAATTAACCTTTTTAGTAAAGAAGGTTTTTAACTCTGGGAACGGAATTTGGGATTTTCTTCTCAAAATAAGCCAACTGTGGGATTAACTCTTTACAGTCTGCGCTGCTCACAGCCTGCTTTGGGCATAATCAATAGGGTGGTCCCCCACAATTCCCTTCTCTTTTTGGAAATGGCAGTAGCTGCATCAGGTTGAGCTGTGATTGTCCTTGGGACCTGTTTGCTCCTGGGTCTCATCAGCAGGAGGTGCATCAGGTCTGGTGATCTCCGTAGGTCCGAGGGCCATCTCATACATTCAGAAGGCAATTTTGGATTATAAAGGTACTAAACTTATCAGTGGGTCAATGTACTGATGAGTTCACAGCTGAATGAAGGGGCTCAGTTGGAGGAAGCAGGTCACTGGGGCACACCTTTGAAGGATATACCTTTCCTCTATCTCTTCCTCCCTTCTCTGCTTCCTGGTTGCTATGAGACAAGCTGTATTCCTCTGCCATGATTTTCTGCCTTGTAGTCACCTGACCATGAACTAAAATTTCTAAAACAATCCAGGTGTGGTAGCACACGTCTATAATCCCAGTACTCAGGAGGTTGAGGCAGGAAGATTGCCACAAGTTTGATGCCAGCCTGGACCATATAGTGAGTTCAAGCCCAGCCTGAATTACATACCAAGACCTTGTCCCAAAAAAACAAGCACAAATAAAATCTTTAAAACTATAAGCCAAAATATATCTTTCCCCATTTCTGGTATGTAATTTATCACTATATACCAGTGCCAGCTGACTAATACAGTATTTAACTGTGAAATTAATCCAGATTCCTTCTGGGTTATGACATTTATGGATGGATATGGTCACAAAGTATTTAAGATCTATTCCTGCTTTCTTCTAATGTTCTATATATAAAAACTAAAAAGCTAAAAATTATACTTCCTAGAGGCTCTTGATATAATTGAGCTGGGCCAACTGGATGTGTTCAAGGGAGATATAAAAGGCAGAAATGAAGCAAAGATCATCTTCCTTCTGGTACTGTTTTCTAATAATATCCAAAGTCATGAAAACAACAGTATTCAGTCTTCATTGTGGCTGTCAAGAGGCAGTTGTGATGATGGCCAGATTCAGCATCTCAGCACCCAGCTATAGAACTCCACACTTCTGCATGAGCCTCCTATTTCCACATCTTCCCTGGGGGGCTGCCCAGGGTCAGCTGTCCACTGACTTGGTAGCTCCCCTAGTGTGTCAGTTCTGCTGGTCTCAGTAATCTCTGTCCTTACAGCCCAGCCTGGGCTTGCCTCTTCAGTCCTTCTAACAATTTCCCAAGTACCTAATTCCAGTATTAAATTCCTTTTTTCTTGAAGCACCTGATAGGGCTTTGTTTTCTGGAACAAATCTTGAATGTTACTAATGGTTTACTAAGCCTTCCTGTAAGGTCTTAGGAGTTCTTAAAATACAGAGCAAGAATATCTCTAGAACTGACAAATTAGTAGACTGCAAAATCTTTCTCAAGATTTCACATAGTTCATTAAACTCCAGTGTCAACACTGTGTCCCAATGTGACACAAGTAAGTTTCCATCAAGAAAAACAAATCTGTTGTTATCCTGGTTTTATGCATCAAGCCTGAGACTGAATCAAGAAAGATAAGCAGTGACTATTAAAGAAGCTAGCAGTAACTTCACACTGACTGCTGTGATTTAAAGAGATGTTCAATAATGCAACAGAAAGATCAACGGGAAAAAATAAGTTAAAAAAAAAAAAGTTCACAGTAAGTTTTTATTTTAAAAACCCTAAGAACAAACTTAAACTAAATTAAACATTTCAGCTATTCAAATCCTTCCAGAGCAGACACTCATCTCAGTTACCTAAAACCAGAATCAGATTAAAATACTAATTTCATGAGGATAGAGGGTGCCAACCCAGTTACACACTTTCCTCTTGCCTTGCCAAGCATGTTAGAAGGTAAATGGGAAATCACATACCACTATTGCCACAGTCTGCACAAGAGATGAGTTCCTCCGGCTTCTTTTCCCGGTTTTGTTCTTTTGTACCAAGACAAAAACTACAGATGGGGATTGGTTCAGCAACCGGCTGTAAAAAAAACCAATTCATTCCAGTATAAGTACCCTTTTATTATTAATATAAGAACATTAAAATTACAGTTCTAAGTTCCTGTGAAAATTAAACCTAACTCTGGGACAACTGTATCACTCTCCTAAAATCTCAACAAAGTAGGTAAGTTTGTACAAAGCCTGCTTTGGCTGGTCCCTTTACAGCTGGTCCAAAAATCATATCCCAATCATATTTGTCATATAAATCACACAGTGCTGCTTAAACGATGCAAATTTACCTATGTCTGAGATTCAACTGAATTAAGTGCAAGAAGACACAGTATCAGCCCTGAAGAAACATATACGATCTAGTAGAAAAGCAGTAAGATGTGCACAGATAAACATAAGGTAATGCAGAAAACATTACGTGCTCTAAGAAATAAACAGTAAGTACTCTGTAGCATCAAGAGAGAAAATTTTCATTATGGTTTGGAGAAGGGGAAGGCAACACATATTAAGCGCCAGTATTTTGTGCCAGCATCGAAGAAGGCTAGTTCAAGGACAGTTATGTTAGAAGCAAATTTAAATCTAAGTGTCTATGTTCCTCCACAGCACTGCTTCTTTCTGCAAGTGATGGACAGAAAGGCAATACAGGTAGCAGAAACAGAACCAACGTAGGTATGCCTCATGTATGCTAGGTAGGTAGTCTACCATTGAGCTACCCTCAACTATTTTTTACTAGGCCTTAAGCAGGATGGCAACAGAAAGCCCTTAAAATGCTTGTAGTCTACTGAGGAGAGCATATTAAGTATAATAAAGTACTTTTAGGCACCTTAATAGAACTTTAATAGTGGAAACCAAGGAGGAAATGCCTTGCTTCACAAACCCAATTCTCTCCATGATTCTGGTTGCAAACTGAACAGGATGACAACCAAATCAAATTTCTCCAGAAAGTCAACATTGAACCTAAACACTCAATTTGATTTAGTTCTCATCCAACTCAGTTTGTGACCACCCAAGCATTGAAAGAATGAAGTCTGTGAACTGAGGTACCACCACTGTAGGGGTTAAGGGTATCAGAAAAAAGCTTTACAGGCATGCCATTAACTTTAGTTCTTCCAGACGTATTTGACAGGCAGGCACTCAGTGGGGGCGTTCCAAAAAATTAGAAACTATAGAAGGCTATTTGGGAGGGCAAAATGAGCTTAATTTGGAACTAAATGAGCTCAGAATGCTATGGAACATCAAGTAACAATGCCTATGGGCATTATGATACAGGAATTTGAAGTCCAAAAAAAAGTTTGGGCCAGAAGACAAAAATTCTACAAGTCATGTATGTTAGGTATTCCAAAGACCCCACTGAACAAGCTCCCTCCCCCTCTCCCTGTCCTCCTCCCCATTGGTGAACAGGGACTTTCTACCTCCTGGAGCTTGTCACTTCACCCCACCAAATGTTCCCTTAAGATAGGGGCCTCCTGGAGCTTGTCACTCCGTCCTACCAAATGTCCATCCCACCAAATGTCCCCCGCAAGACAGGGACTTCCTGGAGCTTTTCACTCCATCCCACCAGATATTCCCATGAGATAGGGACTTCCTGGAGCCTGTTTCTTCATCCCCCAACCAGAATTTGTTGCTACATGTCCTAACTGCAATCACCCACCCCCATCAAAGGACTACGTGCTCTCCCACATGCAAAGACCCCATATAAGCCTCCAGCTCAGCTCATGTGACTGCTGGTCTCCCTTTTGTGAGTCAGTCCCGGCAGGCTGCAGACTGCTGGCCCAATAAAGCTTGTTTGAACATAGGCGTGCCCCTTCCTTTTGGCGACCCTTTCAATATACACACAAAATGGCATGAAAGCCATCAGAGTTGGTAACTTTTTCCAAGGAGAACAGGTGGAAAGAAGACATCTAAAGTCAAAACACCCATATTTAAAGGAAATGGGTTAGTGGAGTATCAATGTTCAACAACAACAACAAAAAGTCCAACACAAACAAGTGAATAGCAGTACTCAGCCAGCAATTAAATAAAAGATGAATAAAGCTGTCTAAATTATTAGGGCAGTGGTACAGACTTCCTTGAAAAGGAATATTTTTAAAAAGAGCTGGAGAAGGCAGGCAAGAAAGACCAAGTAGGAGTGAAAATTTAAAGCAAACCCTTAAGAGAAGGTCTAGTGAGGAGAAAATGGCAGGAGTGATTAGCAGAAAAATTCAGCCTCTCAGAGATTTGGAATCCATAAACCTGGAAAATAACCTGGTGAAAAGAAAAGAAAAAAATGTAGATTGGCAGGAATCCAGAAAGAACTGAGAAAAATGAGAAGCTACAGAGAAGTTAGAGAAACACACTACAATGCAGAGGGGAAAAAACAAAGCAGTCAGTCTAGAAGCTCACCCCAGCTTCAGGAAGGAGAGGCTGCTCCCACAGATGAAAGGTAAGCCCCCAGGGCCATCAGCTCCTGGGAGAAACAGCAGACCAGGCCAGCAGCATGGGCCCCAGAGTGAGCCCATGGCTATTGTGAACTGCAAAAAAAGTGCGAAGTTTTGCTCCAAGGTAACCCCTTCTACACCGTGGACAACACCCAAAGGAGTCTAATGCAGCACCTATATTGCCAAACAGTGCTTAATCGGCACCATTTTGGGGAGGGGTTGAATTGTTTGAAGTCTGGGACTCAGAACTACTAAAACACAGTTTCACTTCAGGGTTCTTATGTAGCCCTGCCCAATGACTACGTGAGAGACAGTCACAGGCAGGGAGCTGGCTAGACAGAGAACCCCTGAGAAATTCAAGCTCAGGCCAGAACCCTGGCTCTGCTGTCAGTAATGAGAAGCCAGGTCAGGTCTGGTGTGTGCAGAAACAGCTTATATGAAAATTCCAGCATTAAATACTTGAATAATTCCCTGCAGCCTACATCCACCGCAGATCTGAGGTCTGCCTGCCTTCCCCAACCACCAACATGAAGGATACACCTTGCCTCTGATAGCCCCGTGTATACAGGGTGGGCCTCTGGAACAGAACAGACAAGGCAACGCACAAAGCCATAGCTCAAAAAGCTAAGAGGAAAAATCATGACTTGCTGGATCCCACAACTATGGATCCTGGAAATAAATCACTCATTCAAAAATACAGAGAAATACTTTTTTCTGTTTTTGAATTCATTTGTCCCCCCCTCCCCCGACTTTTCTTGTTCACTAGTTTATTAGAGTTTAGGGAATTTTCCTTTTTTTCTTTCTTCCTTTCTTCCTTTTTTATTTTTTATTTTCCATATTTTTCTTTTTCCTTTTTATTCTTGCTTGTTTTTTCTGATTATCTATAAATACACTTCTCCTTCATAAGATCCTTTGTCTCACTTTTCACTCCTCTCACTGTTTTTCAATTTTTCTTCTTTCAATTGCCTATTCATAATCCCCTATATATTTACTACTATAACTATGAAGCTTTACTAATCTTTAGATAGTTAACTACATGTTATTACTATTGAATTCTTTTCTGTTATTAGTGGAAGTATTATTGTCACATTTAATAGATATTTACTGCAGTTAATATTTGGTTTGTTTTAGTGTTTGTTCTATGACTAAGGGTAGTACATTATTGATTCTTATGGTATGTCAATCTTTGGTTAGTTGTGGATAATATTATTGCTGATTTATTGATATTACCAGAGTTGTACAGCTGTTGCTAATAAGAGGTTTTCTCTGAACGCCAGTATGTGTCTTTAACAATATTATGGTCCATTCCCAAAGAACAACCTATGCTGGGCCAAGTACACTGTATCCTCCTTCCCTCCCTGATTAACACAGGTGGTCAGATCTTGGGACAGAGAAAAAAGACTATAGTTAGATAGGTCTAGAGTGCATCACCGAAAAACAGACACTAACTAAAGAGATCTGCCATACTTGCAACAGTCTTTCTACTATAAGTGCCTGAAAACCTCAGCACAAAATAAAACAAATCACAACAAACAAACAAAAGGTAGAAATATGAAGCAACAAGGCAACAAAGTGTCTCCCCAAACTCCCAACTCTCCCAGAGCTGATCCACCGGACATTGAGGAGGAAAGCAAAATACAACAGCCAAATTATGTGAAAGGATAACAGAGGGCATTAACAAACAAATCGATAAGGTGCTCAGCAAGTTCACAGAAGAAATAAACAGATAACAGATATAATAACACAGCCAGAGAGCTTACAGAAGACACTAATAAAAAGCTAGCTGAGCTAAACAAAACAATATAAAGCATGAAAGACCAGTAAGAAGTAGAGTACACAAAAAGGTTTCAAAAAGAAATTCAGGAGATTAAAAATTATATTGAAAGTATAGGGAGCAGAAGAGACCAACGTGAGGACAGTGTCAGAAGACAAGGCCATGTCAGAAACCAATCACTGCCAAACCGTGGATTGCAAGTAACTTGGTCTGTGAATGTTCCTCAAACCAAGCAAACATTTCTAAGAAATTTTAACTTGATAAACAAGCATTGTCTTGCTATATGAGTAGTTTGTCACCCTGAATGTCACATAATCATAACTGGTTCTTCTCTCACTGTTTTGACATATAATTGCTTTGGATTATAAACAAATTATTCTCCCAAACCAAGGTTTTACTGTACTTAAGAGACACCCTAAAAACAAGAGAACTAGAAAAATGGACCCAACAGCTGCTACATGATGCAAAGACTAAGGTTAACTGGAATAAGTGAAAAATCAGAACACAGAACAAATGGCATAAAAAAAACCTATTTACAGAATTCATAGCAGAAAACTCTCCAAACATAGGAAAAGCTTTAAACATACAGATAAGTGAGGCATATAGCACCCCAAATACCCACAATCAAAAGAGAACCTCTCCACAACATATAGTCAAACAGGAAATTCCAACACACAGGGACAGAATTTTAAAAGTTGTTAGGGAAAAGCAAAGAGTCATTTATAATAAAGGTAAACCATCAGATTACAGCAGACTTCTCAACATGAACCTTAAAGACCAGGAGAGCTTGGAGACAAGTGTTTCAAGTCCTAACCAAAAACAACTTCCAAACCAGACTTA